GTAGAGCATATGACTCTTGATGTCGGGATTGTAAATTCGAGCCCCATGTTGGGTGCAGGGATTACTGAAAAATAAAATCTTTAAAACAAAACAAAACCAACAACCCACAAAACTCGCCCCTAATTATCAGGTCAGCATATGTCCATTGTGCAAAATATACATCATGAGCATCCTTTAAGCTACGAAATACTCTTCTATACTATGAGGAACAATGAACAAATTTGCAAGACCTTCACAAAGTAACTATAAAAGGAAGATCTTATGCCTCAAATATAAATGTAAATGTGGCCTACGCTTTGTTCTTTCAGATACAAGGCAAATCACATATATGAAAAACACAAACATTTCCTTTGTAATTGGTTTTACTGAGATAAAAATGGCTTTTCTTACAAAATCACATCAAAGAACAGAAGTTAAATAGAATAGACTTTCTCCTAATTGTTAGCTCTAACCAATTCCCCTCATCCTTAACCAATTATATTCGAATAGAAGGCTTATGATGTTTACAATATAAGTGACAAGAATCCCTAAAAAATATTTCATATGATGAGTCCCTTTTTATTAACCACTGTTTCTAAGATTATTAAAACACACGCACACAATCACAAGGATTTTCTAACAGTTCCCTTTCTTCAACGTGAGGGTTAGCGTGATGTTTTTTAATATTTCTCAAAGCAGGAAAAAAAGGGGCTGTTTTATTTTTCTTTGGAACAAGTTCCTGCCAGATTTTGCACATTGCAGCTCTTTGGCGATGTGATGAGAACACAAGCCCACCCACGGGCACTAATTTTGCTCTTCACCCTTCCCAAGCAGCCTTTATGACACATGCTGTCTGCACTCCATTTCATGGAATTCAAGAGGCCCAGTCAAACAGCAGGCCTCACGGGGCTACAGCAAAGGCAGGCAACCCGTCTCTTTCACTGGATGGGTACAAGGAACATGTGTTTAAAAGAAAACCACAAAAAAAGCCAAACCCAGCTTGGACATTGCCAATGTGAAAAATCTTTACAACTGCATGAATTAACACTGAAAACTGAAAGTCATCTCTTGGGTTGAAATCTGGAAAGAGACAGTATCATGTCGCGGTTCCTTGCATACTAAGCTCTATGAAGATGATGTAGCTAACTCCCCGTGCTGCTCACAGAGCATGAGGCAAGGAAGGTAGAGTTGTCACGTGAGCTTTCAGGAAGGGCTGAAGTGCCAGCCTGGTTCTCTCAAGCATTCGTTTTCTCTGTGGTGATCGTTAATTACAAAGAAATGTTGGCGATTAAGAATCCAACTGGGAATGGGCATGGCTTCCATAACTGTCCCACATATACCCTAAAGACAATCTGGGCACAGATGTCAATGCAAACAAGCTGTCAGCAAATTTATACCTCTCAGGACTAAGAAAAGTTCATGCTGGTTTGATAAGAGAGGTCATTCACCCCATTTATATGTCCTTAAGCGTGGGGTTTATGTCCTAAGAAGCGGTTCTGTGCTTGTCTCTGGCTTTTTTGAGCTACAAGACAAAAGCTGTTATTTCCAGATAATGATACAAGATCTACCTACAAGTGCTATTAATCCTACCCACTCTGTAGGCAGGACGTCCTCCCTACAACCTCAGACGTGGGGAGGAGCGTGTAATGGTAGAACAGTGGGCAGTAGACAAGAGGCAATGGACAGGCCCAGCTCTCCCCTTGGGGGCCATAGTTATCACCACTCATCCATAGATCATCCATCTGTACAGCAAGAAAAGATCATAAACTCACGAAACAGGTCCCTCTAAATACAAATAAGGGGTTTTTAAAATGTTGATTATCTATAGTGATTTTTTTAAATTTATTTATGTATTTTTAGTAATCTCTACACCCAACATGGGGCTCAAACTCACATCACTGAGATCAAGAGTCCCACGCTCTTCTGACTGAGCCAGCCAGGTGCCCCAATCTATGGTGATTTTAAAAAAACAATGTTTTTATTAAATGGTTACTGAATTCAGTATAGCTTTGAGTCATTAAGTATAATTTTAATAGATGCTAAAGAGGGGAGAGGTCTTCAACTCTCAAAGATATGGAAAAACTGTCCTTGATGTTTACTAATCTGTTCCAGTAAAATATCCCGGACGCTCTAAGCTTTGAGGATTCAAATGCTTTCCCTGACTGCCACTCTCCTCAAGAAGAAAGCAAAAAAAAAAAAAGTAAATAAATCCTTCGTCTGAGGTTGTCACTCTACTTGGCTCCAAAAACATGGCCTCCAAAACTATCAAAATAAATTTTTTTGGTAGGACAGTTCTTTCTGGATAGCCATCCAAGAAGTGTTAGATTCTGAAGAACCAAGAGGGAATAGCTAAAAGGTGCTTCTACACAGAGCGATTAGTGGCTCCAGAATATAGACTCCAGTAAATCTATGAATAAAAGAAAACCCAGGAGAAATCTACTGCAAATAAAGACGAATCCCCACTGCTGAAGAGGGAATGAAAGCAAGGACAGGGCTGGGCCCAGATAACAAGCATTTTTTAATTTAACACCACCCAGCACATAGCTCTGAACATAGGCAGCATCTCACTCAATACCTATTGATCGCTTCCAAGTTGAATGATATGAGGCCCTTGGTACTGGCCGTGGCTCTATATTCCTTTTCCTTCAAAAGGGTAAGAAGGAATCTAACAACCATGTGGTCACTCTGGACCAACAGGTCATGGTGCTTAACAGCACAGGGGCCTCTGAGAGCCTCTCAGAGAGGTGGTCACAATCCACAGTCATTGCCAAATCACAGTCATCAAGATGCTGAGTGGGTAATGAAACCAAAGCTGAACGAAATCTGTGCTGCCCTAAAATGATGTGGACAGGACCTCAGTCTCAACCACACAAATCACAGGGAAAGCAGGACATTTTCACTGAGAATGCCAATACATCAAGAACTTTAGACGAAATGTTTTTATACACCTTCCTGTAACCATTTTCTGTAGGCCTTAAGGGGAAAAGTATGATAAAATGGAACCTAAGATTTCAGTGAAATCAGAGCAAAGGAGCTATTCTGCCTTTAATTCACAGCTTTAAGTCACATTATTTTTCCGATAACTTTTGACAAAGTGAAACTTGAACTGATGTGATGGTGCCCATCAAAGCAGCGAGAGAACCCCATCTACTAGAAGATCGCAAATTCAGGCTTTAGGTCAAGCTAACATTTTTATTATTTTTTTAAAGATTTTATTTATTTATTTGAGAGAGAGGAAGAGACAGTGAGAGAGTACAAGCGGGGAGGAGAGGGAGAAGCGGGCTCCCTGCAGAGCAAGGAGCTTGATGAGGAGCTCGATCCCAGAACCCTGGGATCATGACCTGAGCCAAAGGCAGACACTTAACCAACTGAGCCACCCAGGTGCCCCAAGCTAACATTTTTAAAGTAGCTTTTCTTCTACAATTTAAAAAAAAAAAAAAAAGCTAATGAGAAGGAATAAAAAGCTTTACTTTCAATCTGAAGTATTTTTTAATACCACCAAATGCTATTATTAAATATGTACTATATAAGCATGTATACACATACACATATAAAAATAAACACTACAGACGTGGGCAGGAAAATTCTTAGCAAAACCCCCACATATTTCAAATACTGTTCTTCTTCATTATTGTCCTCTACCATAATTAGCATGTTACAGCATAACAGGTGGCTTTCATTTATAGAATGCAAAATTAATGAAATTTGGAGATGGCCCTGTGTTCAAAAACAAATTGGCCATTCTAAAAAAAAGCGGACCTCTGAATCTATAGAACAGAAACAAAACAAACTCTCTTCGTGCTGGCTTTCCCTGTTATCTGAATTTCTGAATGTATTGAAACAGGTAAATGCAATACATTTAAGGGACGGTTTAGAATACGTGTCCCTCAAGGAAAACAAGTCATTATTATGGGCTTTACAAGAAAGGGGAAGAGAAAACAAAGACTGCCTCCATTTCCAGCTCGGTGAGCCTACAACCTTTTGATGCTCTCTGAGTGATAACAGGATTCACCACCATACATGGAGCTGTTCCACGAATGTTCAGTCTTGGGCCAATCTGTGGGCAGTTGTGCTATAGGTCCCGACCCAGCCATTCTGGATAGACTAGGAAAGCATAAATAGTACTACTATAAACCAACTATAGCATCTGTCCCTAACAAGTAGGACACAAAAAGTATTTTTTAAAAATATGAGGAGACACCGAATGGACTGTCAACACAAAGAGGAATGTTAAATATACTCAAATAAACAAGATCTGTGCCTTCGCGAGTCAGGCATTGTTTAAATTTAGTGAGTGAAGAAACAGAGGAGGTCAGACAGGCGACACAGCTTCCCAATTATGCAGAACAATCCTTCAGATCATGTGAAAGCTATAATTAAATGTTGTTACCAAAACCCCCACTACCCTTTCTCCCACCTAGAAAAGTTAATGCATGAATTCAGTATGAGCAAATTATGATTTGCAAAAATTAGACATAGTCACTCAGTAGGGGAATAAAGCTTTCTTGCATTAAGTCGTGTATCTTGGGGGATAAGAAAAATCACAATATTGAAAATAAATCCAACATAACAAATAACAAGTTACTATTAGACCATATCCTTTAGCTCACCTCTGCTCACTCTTTTTTTTCTTTCTTTCTTTTTTCTTTCTTTCTTTCAATTTATTAAAGTTTTAAGCTATCCAGCCAAAAGATATACCACCTCTGCAAAAGGTGTTTCCTAGGCAGCATCTTTTAAACTCAGGGCTTAATAAAAGGGATGAGTTTACCTGAACATCGAAGGAGCAATTTGTTTTCAGAGAGGGAGATGAGTGGACAGGAGCTCTGTCCGTCCAAAGACCAGCGGTAACCTATCTGTCCTTTGCATGCGAGCGCACGCACATACACAAACACCCACACTTCAGCAGTTCCTTCCAATTAGAATCCTTTTTTTTTCTCCCTTAAAAAATGTTAAATTATCGGAAAGGTTAGGCAGAAGAGAACAAGGAGAAAATAAAGTTCATGTAAACAGTAAGCACATACCTGCCGGGTGATGCCATTTCCTCTACATTGTAGAGCCCAAGTGCTGGGTATTAGCATTATTGCTACTATAAAGCTTCCGATAAAAATGGATTGTCTCTTGCGGACCTGAGAACCAGCTGGCTGCTTGAAAAGTGGTTTCCCCCATATATGATTCAGTCTCCTTGACAAATATACTGCATCGTACTGGATGAGTCATCTGAGGGTTAGTCCGCATTTTATAGGCCTGTTGTGTCATTACTCACATTCAACATCCTGCTTCTCAAAAGTGGAAGCTGGAAGCCTGACAGCTGACAGATGCTTTTTCCAATTAAAATATTGTTTAAAAAAAATTCCTGTAAGTTATGATTATCAATCATTGATGATACTATGAAATGCCCAGGAAGCAAATGGCACAGCTCAATACCTGAGATTACAGTGGTAGAACCACAAGTGCAAATTGCTCACCTGCCCCCATCTCCAATCCAAATAATCTGGTTCAGAGCTGAGAGCGAGGACCCTTCCCCCTTTTAAGATATCAGTGAGTTAGTATAGGCACGGATCCTGTTGATTCTTATGTTGTAAGGTAACCTAGCTGCAGGAGCTCCGTAAAAACTACACATCAAAATTTGGGTCCTGGTTAATTCTGTCAAGTGGGAGAGTGGCATTGTATTTAGAAAATGTCTACTTCTTAGAGAAAGTATGTCGGGATAAGATGATGTGATAGTTGGGATTTGTTATGAATATTTTACCAAAGTGGGGGAGGGGTAAGGAAATGCGGTAAAATCTTGATCACTGCTGCATCTGTGTGGTAAGTAATATGGGGACTGGCTATATTAGTCTCTCTTCTTTTGAGTATCTAAAGATTTTCATGATGAAATGTTTTAAAAATTAAAAAAAAATTTTTTTCCAGTCCCTACAGTACCCAAACAAGGCACTTTTCTAGTTAGATATGAACCTATCGTATAGGTGAATGGGCACCATTCACACAGTGCAACCTTGTCACCATGGGTATGGAAGCTTCCAGCTTGAAGATATGACACACGTGTCCAAAGGCCACTGTGAGGGCTGCATCCACCCAATGAACAAATGCCTGGTGCTCTCTCCTCCCAAGACTATCCGGTGGTTGTTCCTCATGTTTCCTTTGAGGACACAAGCCCCAGCCTCATTCATGAGCTCAATGTTGACATTACAAGGGAGAGGTTACTATTTCCCGCTTCCTTATATGGTTTTGGAAACACTCCATGAGAGGTTACGTAAGTCACATCCATAGTCCCCTTACACCAACACATCTCTTTGTAAGGTAGCAGTGTTTGTTCAACTCACTTTATGCTCAAATTGGGTTACTTAAACTATCTGAGGGAGGAAGAGAGCTTTGATTTCATGACTGGAAAAAAACCCAGATATGGAAGCTTCAATGTATGTTAAACAAAACTGAAATTAGATGTTGTTGAAAAAAAATCATCCTTGTTGATATGTTCTGGAAGTATGACAAGTCACCACTGGACACTTAAAATACAGATGTCCTATGAAAACCTAGGACCTCTGGACTGCTCCCTTTTTTTCTGAAACTAAAGGACAGGAGAGTGTGTCAGGTCAAGGCTCCCACCTCAGCTAACAGTCAAGCCAATCCTCAAAGGACACTGTCCAAGTGGATGGAAAACATGCAGGAAATGGTTGTGATGGTCCCCACACAACGTCAAGTAACAACCTTACAAATCCAAACTGGTCAGGACTATGTGTGGGCCTGAGCTGAAACCTTCCTTGGTTCTGACAAATTCTTTCCTCATAAAGACTGCAAACTATAGGCTTATCAAAATACCCCCTAGCAACTTAATGAAAACCTTTCACACACTTGCAAAGCATGATTTGCTTGAATGCAACAGGGAGAAATAGGGGGAATTCACAAACTTCTAGCCTAACTTGAGTTTCTGCAACTATCTTCAAGAAGTAAGTGTAGGGCGCCTGGGTGGCTCAGTCATTAAGCATCTGCCTTCGGCTCAGGTCATGATCCCAGGGTCCTGGGTTCGAGCCCCACCTCAGGCTCCCTGCTCCATGGGAAGCCTGCTTCTCCCTCTCCCACTCCCCCTGCTTGTGTTCCCTCTCTTGCTGTGTCTCCCTCTGTCAAATAAATAAAATCTTTAAAAAAATAAAACCTTTCCTTAACTACAGCTCAGTGAAGCTTTTTTAAAAAAGAAAAGAATGTATAACTCAATTAACTAAAAATATAAAAGTAGGAGTGCCTGGGTGGCTCAGCTGGCTAAGTATCTGCCTTCAGCTCAGGTCATAATCCCAAGCTCCTGGGATCAAGCCCCACATGGGGCTCCCTGCTCAGGGGGAAGCCTGCTTCTCCCTCTGCCACTCCCCCTGCTTGTGCTCTTTCTGTCAAATAAATAAATAAAATATTTAACAAATATATAAAAGTAATGGCAGTAATAACATGTATACATGTGCGCACACGTGCACACACACACACAGAGAATGAGAATATGGCAATTATGGTAAAATGTTAACAAATAGGGAACTGGATATAGAAGAGTCCTTCAGAGGCACCTGGGTGGCTCAGTCAGTTAAGCATCGGACTCCTGGTTTCAACTCAGGTCATGATCTCAGGGGTTGTGAGATGGAGCCCCATATTGGGCTCCACACTCAGCACAGTCTGCTCAAGATTCTCTCCCTCTCCCCTCCCCCATCCACACACATACGTGCATGGGCAGGCACACTCTCAAATAAATAAATAAATAAATACAATCTTAAATAAAACAAAAAGACTTTGCCCATCTAGTAGAGGTAACAAATTAAAAAACAGTCCTTCATACTACTCTTACAACCTATCTATGATGATGAAATACTTCAAAATAAAGTTAAACACACAAAAGAAAATATATAACGCTTGTTTTTGTTTCTTTAAAAAAAGATTTGTTTCAGATTTAGTGACCACCATAGTTGTTGCCGCTGCCCATTAAAAAAAAAAAAAAATCTTGGACCATAAAGGAAATTTACCAAAATGTCAACATTAGGAAAGGCCTCTGGGTTAAGATTAAGGGTGTTCCTTGTAAACAATTTTATAAGAGGATCCAAAAACAAAACAAAATAACCAAACAAACATTTTGGGAAACCTACAAACTATAGCCTCAAGAATACGGTTTGTTTAGTCTTGCATTTCATAAGTTTATTTGACCACAGGAACCCCCTCCCCCATTACCATCCCTACAAGCAAAAGAAAGCACTTTGGGAAACACTGCTGTAGATGATGGGATATAGATTTTTTTCTCCCCTGATCATTTTACTCTTCTTAGCTTTCTTCAGAACACACCTTACTTACTGTAACAACAAAAGGCATCCAAACTTGATTTCTGCCATCTTTAACAAACATCTTTCTATTTGGTAGACTCACATGCAAATGACCATCACTGGGCAGCAAACAACTTGTAGTATGCACTATCCAGTCTCCCTTGACCACACTAGATTGGCACACCATCAGGGGCAAGTGAGGAGCCTGCACCTATGTGTATAGTGGGTTAACAGCTCATGTCAGTGTTGGTGTTAAGAGGCGAATAGCCCTGGGTGAGGCCATCCCAAGGAGCAGTAGCTTGCTCCAGGCCCAGCTCTACCTCCACATTTTCAGGGCACTAGGTCTTGGAACCTGGAAACCAGCCTGGATGCCTTTGGCCTGAGAACCCCAGGCCTTTGTATATTCAGCTCCCATGATCCTTCGGTATTTAAGAAGCGAAACTAGCTGGGAAGCATAGCAGAACATGGCTTTCATTTATTATAACTTGCTAATGGACTCGTTTTAAATTTTTGCCACATATTAATTTGTACAAGTTTTTAGCAATAATCTGTTTGCATGTTTTGGGTTTTTAGGTGGGATGGGGAGAGGCTGAAGTCCAAATACTGGCTAATGTCAAGATCTAAAGATAAATGTGGATATTGATGATGTAATCTATAGGCTGTACTGTGTAGTGGTAAAAGAGCAGGAAATTGGAGTCAAGTTGTCTTGGTTCAAAATCCAGCCTGGCCCTTATTCTCAAAAGCCTCTGCTCCTTTATTGGTAAAATGGGTATAATATTATTAATAACCTCACAGATTCGTTCTGAATGGGATAAATGTGATAACTCACAACAAGTACTTAGTACAGGGCCTGGCCACATACAGAGCACTCATTAATTTATGCAAACAACAATGATTAGAATATTTCTAAGTTTTATAAATTTGACTGGCAGGGGTGGGCAAAGTAGGGCCCGCTACTAAACACTGGTCTGTTTATGTATCATCCGGGGCTGCTTTACAGCCACAAAGGCAGAGCTGAGCAGTTGGGACAGAAACCCTATGGCTCCCAAAGCCGAAAATATTTACTAACCAGACCTTTAAAGAAAAAGTTTGCCAAGCCCTGGTGGTCAACAATTTAGCGGATAAAGAATTGGGTCTTTCCCCTATAGAAGTTTTGGTCATTGGTCCTTTATTCTGTTTAATGTCTCAATTTAGAAACCAGACACACAGGCGTTATTTATGGTGATTTGGTCCATGAGAGCTGGAGCTCGTGCGTTCCTTACAATGCAAAACACATACCACAGTGCTCTGTCTCATGGCTGCGGGCTATCCAGAGGGCCTGAGGCTGCCTGTTGGCCTTTCTACCTCCATTCCTTCCTGACTGGCCCACTCAAAGAACACCTCCCTATTTCAGAGTCCAGCTGATGTGTGTGAGACCACAGCCATGCCTCCCCTCCCCCAAGTCACATCTGTACATTATGTCGAAACCACATGTGTCCCCAGAGCTTGAAGCAAGAGATGAAAGATGATCTGGAAGAGGCATTCAGGAAACTGAACAAACAGAAATGAAGGATGCTTTCAAGAGGGTTGGACAGCCGCGGGCCAGATTAATACAACTTGAGGGGCCTTCAGAAATGAGAGCTGCCATAACATCATCATTGCCGACAAGAGTCCAGTAAAGAGACTGAGGGCAACCCAGAAAAATGAAGAACATGCCTTAGATGCAGGTCCCAAGGCACGTCCCTGCATCCATTCGCACTGCCTGTTTTCTTTGGCAAGAAAGCTTGTTTATTTGGGGAAAATGAACCCATT